TCTACCTGAAAGAAGAAATAAAGAAAAGGGTCTATCCACTAACTTCCATTAGTAACGAGTGTGTGTTTGTGTATCGTAAAGTGGTTTGAAACATTTTCAGTTTAGATTAAATTATTTTGTTTTATGCCAAAAATTTTTATTCGCTTGTCTAATGTATTTTACATGTTAGGTTATTGAATCAATAAAAATTTTATTTCTCTTGAGAATAAAAATAAACCATTTGTCAATTTGAAGCGGTTAAATGTATTGTTGTGCAGGGTGCATATATAAAAAAAGAAGAAGAAAAGACACCAAACATCGAATCTACTTTTTGCTCCTATTTTTTCTCCAAACCGCTTCAGTTTGGTTTATGTTAGAAGAAAGGATTATAAGATCACTATTTCTGTTTGTCTGTCTTCCCTTATCTCTGTTTATGTCTAGTTTGTCGTTACCAATGTAATTTTGTATAAGTTTTATATATTTTTTACTCTTAAAGATATACACATTTTTAACTTTTTACTAAAAAATATATATATATATTGTAAATTAATCTCGAATTTCATATTAAACATTAAATGATTCACTTTTTTAAACCAGTTTTCTATATTTATGAACTTTTATCCATTATAATTTTTATGCTCATACAGAATTAATTTAAATATTTTCTTATAATTTTATCTGTTATTTACATACAAAACTTTAAAATCAGTTTGTCTGTACGTTCATAAATACAAGACACTTATTAATATCGTTTTATTAATTATAATTCCCGTGCTTCTAGTAAATTAATTTAAATATTTTCTCGTAATTTTATACATTTAAGAGATACTATAACTAATTTTACTATTATGATAGTTTCTATATTGATTGATAGTTTTTGATGGACGTCATTCTTAATACGTAAACGAGATAATTATAGCAACATCTTAACAATTAAAATTTATTAAAACTGTTCTAGTTTATCCCTAATGTGATAATTAAAGGCATTTAATCACAACTCATTCTACCGTCTTCCCAACGACTTAAGTATTAATAAACTCGCCATTTTATTAAAATTCTCTTACAACTATTTAAATAGTGTAAAAGACATTTTTAAAAATTGATCTTTTTAATTCTGTACTTGCTTCAATGACAAGTTTACTGAACCGTATGTAATTTAATAAAATTATGTAAAGCCAATTAATTTGCTCGGTTTCGTAGAAACGTACTTTATTGTGTAATCTTTTTGACTAACATCAAATGCTGTGAAAATCCAATTTTAGTGTACAGAATGAAAAATTCCACGTTTATAAATTATTAAAATAAATATATTTATAATTGATTTTAAAGAGATTTTTTTTTCCTTTTTTTTTAAATATTTAGCCAACGTGAGGGGATTGAAACGTAATTTATAACTGAAACAATAAGTCTCTCTTACATAAACTTAAAAACAGATTAGCCTATAATAAATTAATTAATTTTCAAAAAATAAGTATTAGATGTAATTACATCTTTATTAAGAGATTCGGCTTATAAATCTCATTTAAGAAAGGGAGATTTTTTTAGCAACTTTTAAGTACTCCTTAAAAATAAGATAATTCAATTCAGTAATGACATTTCCTGTTCTGGTATCATTTCATATGCTAAATTTCTTGAGAGGTAAACAGCTAGCAATTAATTAAAACCTTCCTCCACTGCTGGATACATCAAGATTGGCTTCATGTTTCATTTGCATTTTACAGAATCAGCCACCGAGAGGGGTAGAGTGTTGGCCATTAGTCAAGACTTTGATATCACTTTAACTCGCTCTTTTTTTCCATCCTCTATTTTTACTTTGATAGATTCGATTGTAATTATTTATAACTTAATACTTTTCGGAGAGGTTAAAAGGCTTCAAAAATGAAAGGATCCATTAAGGAGGAGAATATAGTTTTATTTCGATAGCTAAGAGGTCAACTTGTAATACACTTCACTTTGTTTTTGGCTGTAAAACATCCTTCAGGAGTGTAGATGCGGCTTGGGTGAAGATCATAAAATCTCCATCTTTTTTGTTATTGTTGAGTGCTATCTTTCTTGTGCACAAAAATGTATTTTTTTTCTATCAAAAATTCGTGCTGTTGACAGAATTTCTGTATTATTTTCTAGAAAATTATTCTAAACTATTTCAAATTTTATTTAATTTTGTTTAATATCTTCCTTGGCTTATCGATTTTTATTTTCAGCTTAATTGATTTAATTAAACTGAAAACGCCAATTTACAATAAAAATTTAAATTTTATTCTTTCATCACAATGCAATTTTAAGTCTTTTATGACAATAAATTATTAAAATAAAACGAATATATATATTTAAATATTTGTTAGAACAAAGTACTTGAATTAAGATGGAGAAGGTATGCTAATTGATCCCTTTGTTTGTCGAGTAGCTCAAAAAAGTGAACAAGATGTCAACTTCCTGTGTTGAATTTACACTGTTTACGTTAAACGTGCGATTCACTTGTAACGTAATTAAACGTGTAATTTTAAGGTGAATGAAAATGCTGCACTAGACTCAGCAGTCCAGTTTAGAATTATTAAATGTATGCACTCGAATTTAAACATTATATCAGAACTTCTGATAGATTAAATTACAGAGATGCTAAGTTACCGGTCCATTTCTCTGGTTATCTCTCTTGCGTATTAAGCAGTAGTAGCTGGTTAGATCTAGCTGTATGAATTATTGAGCTGCTGAATTAGTTAATTCCAAAAAGGATAAATCACTAGATTGGCCATTGGTTGATTATTTCTCATTTATGTGGATTACCCAGCGGGTAATTTATTCCTCCTACCCGATTAATGATGATATATATCACTAATAACTTCGATTTGTACATATTATAGCGTGTTCCTGCCGTTTTCTTCTTAGAAATCACGCATCTAGCACATTACTTCACTCATTTTTGTGTAGTAATTGAAGATGGTTCTTTTCAGCTTGTAATTTTTACACTCATTTCTTATCGTTCCGTTCGTAATATTTGGTGAGAAATATTAATTTATTTATTACACGATCGATCATAATCTTTTATTTCTGTCATTCACGCTCTATCAGATTTTTAGAATGAGATTTATCTGTTTGAAGCGAATGGACCGTTAATGTAATTGATCTGATTCTAAAAATCGATACCGTCATTTTTTATTTCTTTATTTTATATGAACTATATCAAATTATTGATAAAAATATAGAGGAATCCCTAAAAGTTTTATTAGCAATTTTTATTGGAAATTTCTGATTGAAATTTTACAGGCTACTTTATGTATTGAAATAAATTTGATTACTTTTTTCAAATTTGCAATATACATTTTTTTTTTCTTTTTTGGCTTATATATATATATATTTATACAGTTCTAAAATATAAAATATATTTTTTAAATAAATTATTTTTATGATATGTAAAAAATAGAAATGGATATGTAATGTAACATTCTTCTTCCCTTCTTTCCCTTTTCCTCTTTGCATTTTATAACTCGGAAAAATAATATTTATAACAATAGCTTAAAATTTTAACATGGAATTTTTAAAATTCTTCCACAGAATCAATGTAAAAATCAATAAAGCGATATTATATGATTTTCATGCATTTTTCCAATACGATCGTTCTTGTTACTATAGCGGCACATTATAAAAATCAATAAATGTCTTGTAGTAAGTACGATATTTTCTATTAAATTGTGGCATTCTACGAATGTCATTAACGTGTATTTATCGTTATTTAATATCGATACAATTTATTACTGTAGCAGTACATGTTTACAATAAAAGCGCTTACTAAATACTTGTTCATATTCGATGCTTATTAGTATTATATTGCAAATCTATTCTAATAGAGAGCCTTATTGTATGCTTTTGTCTGTATTAATCCTATCAAATGTTAGATTATTATCTTAATACAACAAAAGTATTTCTTAAATAAATACTCGAGTAACAGATAAGTCGTCAGACGAAATTATTCTCCTGATTAATCGGATTTTCAAGTGATTAGCGACATAAAATCGCGTCCTAAAGAAAGAGAAGGGAGAAACTATATTAAGTATGATTTTTAAAAAATTTATTTTATTTTATATTTTCTCTGATGCGTGTCCTTTTTGGTTTTTATTAGTTTATGAAAAGTGATGCTGAGTATGGTAAGTTATGGAGACATTGTCTTCGTTTAACAGTTACTTAGTTTTAAATCGATACTGACGGCCAAAAAACGTTGAATGTTCTATATTTCACACTAAAAATATAAGATACAATAAAGTTTTTGGTTTAAAAATAATAAAAATAAAGACGTTAGCATTAGATTTGTATAAATACTCAATCTATCTACACATAAACGAAAAATGTTTGTACAGTTTTGTACTTTTCATTTCATTGTATTGATGGTCTTCTTGGCTGTGGTCCAAGAAGAATTTTTTTATTTTTTGTTGGTACCATGACAAATCGCCTTCAACTTTGCACTTGAGTGTTAAACAATGAGTGTGCTATATTCCGAAAACGACAAATTTATATTGTTTGTGGCAAAATCAAAATCTTGTGATGACGTGAACAAAATAAGATTGGAATTTGATAAAAGTTTAGTTGTCACATGCTTGAGTACTGGGGGATGTGAGCCAACTGTCGACTTTTCTTTTATCCGTAAAGTGAAAGTGGCACCATATTAAAAAAAGAGATAGAGAAAGAGTTGATGACTAAAATGTTACTTTTTAGAAATACAATTTAATCATTTTTAATTTAATAAAGATGGTTTGAAGTGAAAATGTCTGTTTATTGGAAAAGTTGGCACCAATCCTTTTCTAATGTCTTTCTTTTTATCTATTTTTATTAAAAGAAACTAACATCAAAAATTTTTGACGAATCTATTCTATGAAGTATTCTATTGATTGTTATAATGGAATAGATCTATATAAAATTCTAATCCTTAATCGATGCAAATATTAGTTTTCATTTAAGTAAAGTTATTCGTAAGAATTAATTCATATATTTTAAATAAGATTTGTAATAATATTTTTAAACATTTCAGATCGATGAAGACTATAAAAGAAGGTGGCAGAACGGGTACATTAACTGCCATATCTCGCCAAGATAAACCCATTTGGCCCGAAGCAGTTATAGACATTTTAAATTTAATACCGGGACCACGTGGTCAAAACCAATGGAAGACGGTTGGGAACATCACCGGTTCAAAATTCGAGATGAATACAGTTGTGTGGTTAGGAGAAACGCGAACTGGGCCACAACCAACAGGAAGACAGAGATTTCGAGTGGTGACCGCTTATGCTCCACCATTCGTGAAGCCGGCGACCAAAATAACCAATGGAACTTGTTTAACAGGTGTCAAATGCCTTCAAATATCTACGAATAATAAAACGGAACTGTTACAGATTTTAGCAAATTACAAAGCAGAAAAGTCAGAAGGATTGACATACAACATCACTTGTTGTTCAGGAATATCCATCGATCTGTTAGAATCTGTGGCACGCGATCTAAAATTCGATTTTGACGTTTACCTAGTTGCTGATGGTGTTTTTGGAAGTAATCGCGGTCAAAAATGGAACGGTATAACGGCCGATTTAATCAGTGGTGCTGCACATTTGACCTTTTCGGCTTTTAGTATGACGAGTCAAAGGTCAAAAGTCATAGACTTTTCCGTCCCATATTTTCATTCAGGTGTATCTTTTCTGATGAATTCGCAATATCGTGAAGTACCACTCTCGGCGTTCCTTGTACCATTTAGTTATCAACTGTGGGTGGCCATCTTTGCTAGCCTCAACGTGACTGCCATCTTCGCTGCTATCTACGAATGGCATAGTCCATTCGGGCTTAACCCTTGGGGAAGGCAACGAACTAAGAACTTCAGTTTAGCATCTGCTCTTTGGGTGATGTGGTCGCTGCTCTTCTCTCATCTAGTAGCTTTCAAAGCGCCTAAGTCTTGGCCCAATAAAGTTCTCATCAATTTATGGGGATGCTTCAGCGTTATTTTTGTTTCCAGTTACACAGCCAATATTGCCGCACTGTTTGCTGGTTTATTTTTTCAATTGAGAGTGGATGATTTTCACGATGCCAGTGTGAGTATATCTGCTTAAACTACATTCCTTCTTCGAGATCAGTGATGTGTAGTCAGGCCAAGCAAAATCAATTTTCCTCCATATTCAAGTCTTCTTCGCCATTTTGATATCACACGAATAGCAACGTTTTGCTTTGCTTAACTTCACCTGACCGCATCTCACAGATAAGATAATCTTTATTTTTGACTAGGTATGACTTTTACAACACCTAATTTTGTTTTATATAGCCAAAAGTACTTGTTTGCTTTCTTGCACAGCTTCTTCACCAGAGGACAGGCACGGCTAAAAGTAGTGCAGCAGAAGGGTACGTGTACGCCGAAAATCCTAGATTGTGGCAGCATATACAGAAATTTGGAGTTAATAATTTGGAAGAAGGCCTAGAGATGTTAAGGTAATATTCCTAAAATATATTTTAAGAATATAAATTAAATTCTTATATCAAAGCTATGTATGTGTATGTATTTTAGGAAATCTGAACTGGATGTTCTAATAGGTGATACGGCTGTACTCAATTATTTTCGAGGAAACGATCCTATATGTGGGCTACTTCTTGGTGATTCTATTTTTGATGACGCTTACGCTATAGGAATGCAAAAAGGATTTCCTCTAAGGGTAAGAAAATTCTTTATTTTTGATTAAATACATTTGAAAGTCATCAAAAACTTTTTAAAATAACTATAATTTGAAGAAAAAACACAAAGATAATTTGAAATTCTTTTAGTACGACCTTCTAGTCCACAGGAACACAAGCAAACATAAGCAAACTAGACCTTTCTTTAAAGTCTCTGCCACTAAAACTAAGCAGAATTGCTTTAAAAGTCGGGCTCTGATCTTATAAAAATTATATTAAAAATATACTGGATAAAAATTTAATTAAAAATTTGAAAACATGCATGAAAATAATTTGAAATCTTTATTATTTTTATGTCTGTCTTCAGTTTTTGTATATTTTTAATTAAATTTACGTTCTGTATTTTTATTGTTATAAAACATTTTGTTAATTTTAAACTGAAAGATATTTTATTAATAAACACTATTTTCAAAATTTATTTGGAATCTTTTTTATATATTTAATTAAAACAAAACAACATAATAAATAAATTAAGTAACTCAAGTTATTTAATATTTTTGGACTTAGCATTAAAGACAACTGACTTGAACTTTCGAAACTTAGTTGTATCTAACGACAATGCTGATTTGGTTATGGACGAATAAAATAAAGTTCCGATCTTTATGTGTATTTGTTGGTTTTAATTATATTAACTTAACACCGAAAATCAGAACTTTATTTTATTTATTCTCTTTGGTTTATGTGCAATTTTTAAACTCTGGTTATGGACGAGTTATTTAATAAAAAATATCAAAAAATATAACAACTTCACTTTCAAAATTTGAAAAATCAAACAACTGAGCAATTATAGTACTTATTGAATTATTTTTTTTATGTGGAAGATTAAATTAACTTGAAAATATTTAAACTTTTAAAAAAATAAAATCTATTTTGATGATGAACTTTAGCAATTAATCAGTACAAGTGAAAAACTGCGTTTTCATTAATACATTAGGAATAATTTCCGTGTGATAAGGTATCCAGATTTGAATCCATCCAGAAATGTCACTACTTTCATGGTTAATTTCATGTAAAAATCAATTTACAATGCTTACCCATATTGGTAAGCTTTCTATAATAGAAGAAACCTTAAAATTATAGTTAATTTCTTTCCTGTTGAGTTAATAAAATTATAATGAACAATTACTTTAATTAACAAATAGTACAAGAAGTAAATTTTATAACTTCTGAATATCTATTTTGGTTTATCTATTGGTTATATTTATTTTAAATGTTTGAATTATCAACATTACTAAAAATAGTTTCCATTAGTGATGTAACGAATAGTATATTCGGCCTCAGACCGAATACCGAATATTCGGCCAAGAGCGTGGCCGAATAGCCGAATATTCGGCCAAACTATTCGGCTCGATTAACGCACGTACGAAAATTGGCGCGCAAACCGCATTATGGCAAGGATCCTGCTCTCTATTGGCCCGCTGTCACTACGCTTCGCCAATCGCGTTAATTCTTGGCAGTTGTAGCCGACAGACAAGAGTGTCATGGAAGTATGTGATAAATGATGATATCAAATGTGGATAACAACGAAATGACCTACACGAGTAAACAACGGAAAAAGAACAGAGAAGGACCGCAAAGTGAAAATGTGAAAATAAATAT